TGATTCTTTTGGCTTGCATCAGCCCATTTTACCACCACCATTGCCTCCTTTGCCTCTTTCACTTCCATCCGGCCAACAGCAGCCACAACAACAGCATACTCTTACTCCGGAGCAGCTTGAAAATCGGATGGCTAAGATGGCCCAACTTGAGAAGATTCAGTCAACATTGAGTAAAAGCAAGAGTGCCAGTACTCCTGGAGCTGCTGCTGTGGCTACTGGAGCTGTTTTACATCAAAAGCAACAGCAACAACAGCTACAACAGCAACAGGTCCGATTACAACAGGCTCAAAAGTTCCAACACTCAGGTAAACCTAATTTGGTCTTCTACGCATTGTCACTTTCGATTGATACTAATTTTAATCTGCCGCCTTTAAACTTTTATCAAACATCCTATTTCTCACATTTATGTTGCTACACTTTACCTAACAATTATTACTCTGGGCAGCTAATACCTCGTTAAAGCATTTTGCAAATTCTGTCCTTCACGCATAAATTCCTCCACACAATCTATCCCTTAAACTGTATTTATCGGTCTATGAATGAGGTAAAGTGCACCAAGTAAGATTTATTATTCATTCGGTGTTACTTCAGACTATACGGAATTTGAAATATTAGTTTATTTTCGGTGAAAACTCTTGAATCCAACTTTCAAAAAGCTGGGTTCATTTTTCGATCCTCATCAAATGTCGTACTGAAATAGCAGATCATATTCTTGGCACCGACGAGTCTATCTTTTTTTACATTACATCAATCCAGCTTTTATTTTATGCTTCGAGATTTTGGATAATCTTTATTTTGCAAATCGTATTTACCCGAAGATGTCCAAATAGGTTTCTCTCAAAATGTATTTTTCTACATGCATGTGGGTACCTTACCACTGTCTAGCGACATATTTTCATTTTCATCTTTCTACCCTTTCCGTCAGATTTTATCGCTGCTCTCTTATCCTTTTTATATAGCATTTTATCCCATTAGCTTGTATATGGAATGAGGTTGCCTCTGTCGAGCTCATTTGCTTGGCGATTAACTATGGCTTGATTCAAACTCATATTCAATTTGAGCGTATAGTCTTCATTTACCATCATTGGATTATTTTGTGCTTATAATTTTTTTTT